ACACCAAAAGATCTTTTGTTTTGTCGTTCAAGTAAATTAAGTTAAACCTAAGACAAGATAACTTAAAGCTAGACTTTAATAGAGTTGTTTTAAAGGAGTTTTTTGTTTACCTTTTTTGCTACACGTTAGTTAGCAATGTTTAATTCTTTTGAAACATCTGACTTATAATCCTTCTGAATTTCTTTAATATAACATCATTAAAATAACATATATATGACCGTCATTTTCTGATCTTGAAGTCTTTAGTACAAACTAGTCTAATATTCGACATCAAAATGTGTTTGCTATACCTGAAGTTACACGAGAAACGTCAAACTCAATTTTCTCGCAAATGCTTGAGGGTTGCATCGAATGGCTTTACCATGTGTTAGTGGAGGTATAACATTACAAATATTTCAAACTCGGCGAAAATTGAAAAGATTATTTCTAATATTTTCCTTGTGAATGATGAAAATGTGAGTGATAAAAAATATAGAGTTTGAAGTATATTCGAAAGAATTTGGAATTAACTAATTACAGGCTATATATTAAATGTTCGCCCACGTATATGCATGTTGAAACTATTGGTTTTAATAATCACGCGCTCATAAATATCAGACTGATGATCGTGTGCGCGATGTTTGCTCAAAGATAGGTTTACATAAGCTAACGATGAATGCATATATTTGTTATTAACGTTCGAAAAATGTGGATACTTATGGACAGAATAGTTGTATAGCAATTGGTCCCTAGTAAAAAATGCATGTCACATAGTTCATGTTGCTACAGTCAATAAAATTCTGCGTAACTGAAATATATTTACTCTGAAAATTTATAAAAAAATGGAAAAGTAACATACTGTTGTATAAGATATTTTTATAATTACTATACATCTATATAGTACGGAAACATTACCAAAATATTTCATTAGATAGTAAGATTGTAAATACATTGTGAAATATAATTGTAATAATTCTGTGAAGTTGCAACAATGTTGAAATATCCGTTCTAAAAAAAGAAATTACATTATGGAACATATAGTAACATTGCAAGGTAATCCCTTGTGAAAATAGAGTCAAAAATGGAATTAACTCATGTATGTAAATGGAAAATAATGTTATTGTAAAGTGAAAGATATAAAATGTTTTACAAATCGACGAATCATCGACATATTTTTCTTTTTATTTAATATTCTATAATATTTCCATATTTAATATTTTAATATTTAAATTATGCACTTTTTTCTCATTTAAGCACTAATCATTGTTGCTTAATTTCAGTATTCGGACACAAATCAAAAAACACAAGTAGCGTCTGATCCCCAAGTTCACATACAGTTCGCAAACTTCGCCGTCGTTATTGTCATCATCATCGTTATCATGTTTTAAATTATTTATAATTTTGACAAGACCGACACATTTTTTAATTTCTATTGGATTTCTAATATTCTTAGCCATTGACTCTGAGCATACATGCTTGCTTTTACATTGATTTGTTTTTCATAGCTAACTAGTGTACATTCATTGTACTTAAAATGAAAATAAATATATATTTGAAATTTGACAAAAGTAAGATAGAAAGTTTGAGTGCGGTTCAGTGAAGTAAGAACAGAAAATAAACCTAGCATTAGCACTAGCTGTATCATAATGTTTCACTCAAGCAAAAGTCAATTGTCCATAGGAGTATTAGGTATACTTGACACTGATAGAAAATTCAATATGGTAGTAAAGCTATAAAGCTAAATTAGGTACAATGGATTCTGACCAATCAAATTAATATCACGATCATTTGACTCTTGACGCATCTTTGCCTACTATATTATCAGCAAAAAATGATTGGTCGAATCGACACGTTCATAATATTGTTCAGTATCGTTTTATAACATGAATGCGAATAGTTATTTCACAATTTAAAAAAAAATTTGATATCATGTTTATAATGTGAAAACTCTTAAAATCATCATTTTTTTGTCTTTTTGACGCTATTTTTTTCAGAATCATGACGTGATAATTAAATTTTGACAATGGATTCGTGTTTAGTAGGAAAAAATATATCGAAAATAATTTACGTGATGAAAGAAAAAAATCAAGTTTTTAAAAATTGTGTAATTTGACAGTGTAATTGATCAATATCAATGATTATAGTCTTACAAAAAAGCATCTTCGATATCGACCAAATCGATGCGTTGAATGAACGTTGTATCAACGTCATCTTTCTAAGAGATAGAATCTCTAGACGATAAATTACGTCGCCCCTGCCTGACAAAAAATATTCATTATAATTCGCGAATAATTTTGCTTGTAATTTAAGAATTATGCTTCATATAAATTTTTGATAAAGAAAAATCATCTTAGAATTAAGTCAGCATATATTTCAAAAATTGACGATTATTCTAAATCACTCTATATTTATTTATTTTATTTATTTATTTATTTTCATTGCATTTATTCTAGCAACGCCAGAAAAAAAATTTTTATTTCAATTAAATTGTTTCATTTTGTATTGTTATCGGTTCAATCTCTTTTTATTCCCCTACACATGTTTTTATTCCATCGGAATATATCTGATTTTCTTTATTTAGAAGAATTCCTTATAATTTTATTTTGATTGAAACAGACATGGATATATTACAATTATAAATGTATTTAAGATCATTGAAATTTATATGATAGGTTAAATATTTGATCGGAATTTTAAGTGTTTTTTCACAATTTTTCGTATTTATTTATTATTTATTTATTTTTTATTTATTTAGCAAATATTTATATCCTACAATAATTTTTCTTTAATAATTTATAAATTTAAATGAGATGATATTAAAATTATAATAATATTAAAATTTCTTTAAAATAGAACATCTTGCATATATAAAATAGTATAGGTCATTGACATATCGATTGATTATATACGCTTACCTAATAGATTTCTTACAGCGAATTGTTTATAAGTTTTTTATATCAGTCTATATTTATTGGATATATTACATTTTTATCGATAAATGTTTATTACAAACGTTCGAAAAATGTTTTTCGTACGTTTTGTAATAAATATTCATCGGTAATATATATCCAATACCTGTTTGCTACAATTTTTTAGCATTTATTATTATAAGACATAAAAATTGTTTATTATTTATATCTGTCTCAATCCTAACCATTAAAACACACACACACACACACACACACACACACACACACACACACACACACACACACATACTTATAT